CTGTACCTAATATAAGCACACCATTATATCTACCTAATACTATTCCACCACTATATATATACCTAATATAATCACACCATTATATCTACCGAATATTATTCACCATTATATATGTACCTTAAATAATCACACCATTATATCTACCTAATATTATTCACCATTACATATGTACCTAATATTCTCACACCATTATATCTACCTAATATTATTCCACCATTATATATGTACCTAATATAATCACACCATTATATCTACCTAATATTATTCCACTATTATATATGTACCTAATACAATCACACCATTATATCTACCTAATATTATTCCAACATTATATATGTACCTAATATAATCACACCATTATATCTACCTAATATTATTCCATCACTATATATGTACTTATCTAATTCCACAACTAAATCGCTTCTTTTAGATGAACGTAACAAACTCAAATAAGATAGCACAATTATCACCAGGAAATAGATACAGTAATCATAAACTGGTAATAAATACAGTAATTATAACCTGGTAATAGATACAGTTTTATAATCATGTAACATATACAGTAATTATCAGTTGGTTATAGATACAGCAAAAATAAGCTGGTTATAGATACAGTAATTATAGCTAGGAAATAGATACAGTAATTATAACCTGGTAATAGATACAGTTTTACAATCATGTAACATATACAGTAATTATCAGCTGGTTATAGATACAGCAAAAATAAGCTGGTTATAGATACAGTAATTATAGCCAGGTAATAGGTACAGTAATTATCAGCTGGTAATAGATACAGTAATCATAAATTGGTAACAGATACAGTAATTATAGCCAAGTAAAAGATACAGTAAATATAATCAAGTAATACATACAGTAATTATAGCCAGGTAATAGATACAGTAATTATAATCTGGTTATAGATACAGTAATTATAGCCAAGTAATAGATACAGTAATTATAATCTGGTTATAGATACAGTAATTATAGCCAGATAATAGATACAGTAAATATTTCCACTCAATATATTTCTCTTTTACAAAAAAAGGAAAGAAAATTACATCTAGCAAAGTATATAACTTAGATAACACACGATCCCTGTTTTACATATTCTAATTGTTACAGAATTCCACGGGACCGAACTATGAAGTCGGATACCACAGTGAGACGGACAAAGTAAAGCGCAACACGTTTATGAGTTAATATTGAAATAATGTCCTAAACACTAACATAGAATCAGTGAGGATACGATCTTTTCTTTACAATTTTCAAACCAGCAAATGAATCATTGTGCAAGACATGGTATAAAGTTCACAGCATAAACTTCCAACTCCTTACAGAGCTAATTATATATTATAAGTTCAGAAACGCTATAAATATTCATTACGTTTAAGTACAGAACACGAGTTCCAAAAGCATATCAATTCCATTAAACAACCATCAGCGACATTATTAATAATATAAAACAGGTTAAAATCACAACCTTTATCATTTTGTGACAATGATATCAGCTCAAGGGCCAGATAAAAGGTCGCGCCAAGGACGATGAAGGGTAGCATATTCCAAATTTATCATATTTTACCAGTGATATTTAAGAAATTATCTATTTAGAAAAAAACATTCAACAATTCTAGCACTGCCCAACCACGTACTCATTTACAGCTAAGTAGACTGGAACAAGCGGAGTAAAGTATCTTGTTCAAATATAGAACACAGTGCCGTGACGTGACTCGAACTCGTAACCCTTCAGTCACGAGCCCGGCGTCCTACCACTAGACTATCGTGCCTTCCTTCAGTCACGGGCCCGGCGTCCTACCACTAGCCTATTGTGCCTCCCTTCAGTCACGGGCCCAGCGTCCTCCCACTAGACTATCGTGCCTTCCTTCAGTCACGGGCCCGGCGTCCTACCACTAGCCTATTGTGCCTCCCTTCAGTCACGGGCCCAGCGTCCTACCACTAGACTATCGTGCCTTCCTTCAGTCACGGGCCCGGCGTCCTACCACTAGACTATCGTGCCTCCCTTCAGTCACGAGCCAGGCGTCCTACCACTAGACTATCGTGCCTCCCTTCAGTCACGGGCCCGGCGTCCTACCACTAGTCTATTGTGCCTCCCTTCAGTCACGGGCCCAGCGTCCTACCACTAGACTATCGTGCCTTCCTTCAGTCACGAGCCCGGCGTCCTACCACTAGACTATCGTGCCTCCTGAATGAGTAGGATGAGTCTGTACATCTTTTCTACATACACTAAGGTATGATATATAGAGGATCTGCAACGAGTGTTCATGTAATATTGAATTTATTGACGAGTTTATTAATTTCATATGAAATTAATAAACGAATTTAATAAATTCGATATTACATGAACACGAGTGTTAGATTCTATTTATTATATAATTCGAGAAACACTCTTTTTCTTGACAGTCTCCTCTATATAAATCGTACCGATGGCGGACGTAAAACCTATCAATCAATCAACCTGACGAAAGGACGCATTACATGCATTTTGTTTGGAGCTCGCTGCGCCACAAAACATAGTTCAGAAACTACTTCCCGTGAACCCTTTCAATGAACAAACAATTATTTAGGTTTTCTTCATTAAGCAATGCTATAATAATTATCATAACAACATTAATATTTTTTTATACGAAAACCATTCAACGAATTGGCGTTTACGAAAATATCAGTGACGTCACATATTTGGCACAACGGCGCATGCACTGTCAAGGTAAAGGTCATCACAATACACATCGAAGTCTGCACTTTTCAAAAGTTTACAGTGAATGGAATGATTGTCACTCTCTATAACACAAGCGCATTTCTTTGGAGAGTGTTGTTGGTGAATGTGAACCTCGATGTTTCCGCCTGTCACTGAGCCAGAAAATATACTCTGGAATCCGTCATGAAACTGGAACACTGATGAAGTTGACCAGTTACACGTGGTTGATTGTGTGTATGTCGGAGAAGTTCAAGTGGAATTTGAACATGCAAGTGTTGAATTTGTGTGAAACTAACACTCGTGTTTATATAATATTGAATTTATTTCACTCGTTTCTTTTATTTTATTCTCCCAGTGAATATGACCTGTTTCCCACGGTGGCACGACTCATTTGTATGTTTGTTGTACGTGTGCTATATCGTTTTTTATTGAACGGCAATATTGCACGGAAATAGCCTATATTATATAATAATCTATTAAATAACAAAACCGAACTCATAAGATAAAAGTATAGCACAGTGATAACATTATCAGAGAAAAGTGTTGTTAGAGATACCTTAACGAGTGACGGTTGTTTTTGTCACTCTAACAAGTGTTATTTGTACCTCTGTACCTTTTGAAGATTAGCTATCAAAAGTGAGATAAAATTGGCAGCTGAACAAATATTTCTCTCTCCTTTATGTATACAAGATATGTGTGTCATTTCTACTTAACGACAGACACACATATTGTGATAAGTATATTCCATATGGACACACAAGCTGACCTCTGCTTCGTGAATCACCCTTTTCTATATCATAATTAGGGACTGTGTTAAAGAAGTTGTTTAAGTGTGACACTCTCAGTATCTTGTCAGCTGGTGTTCTAAAGAGTGACGTAATTTCGATGTGATCCGTGACGTAATTAAACTGAAAAAGATCAGCAGCAGAATATCTCTATAAAACACAACTGACATTGCCTCGTTTAAATAACCAATTACAATCAAATTTGCTGTGCAGCTTTTGCATACCCTTTGTTTAAGTTTGCCTTTGACAAAATACTTTCTTCGCTCCTTCCAAATTTGTTTTAGATTTATTTCGATATTTAGAAAAGCTACTATATCTATTTTTACTTTCGAGTTGTAATTGATTATTATAATAGACTTCCCGTGAAAGCGATGGTAGAAAAGTGTCGATCGTTAATCAGGTTTGGGGAACATGGCAAGCGTCGGATCTGACTTAAAATCCTTGATTACAAGTTCAAGTTCTTAATTACTTTGAGTCTTTCGACTCATCAGTTACAAGTAACAAATGTGCAATATTTGCAGTGCAATATACAAAATAACATTACACAACGTTTGGAGAGTGCAACGCACCTTTTTGTTATAATTGGGTTCTTCTCTCGAATTTGCAAATTTAATTTATTTCCCTAAGTTTGTTATTTCTTTTGTATTTTTCACACACCTCGTAGTCCTATCAATTTAAATATGCTTGGCTTTTTAATGTAAAAAGTTTTCAAAAATCGCTCACTATTTTGAGGGAAAATAATTTTGACCTTTTAAATGCGTAATCACTCTTGGTGCTAATCCTTGTTGTGACCTATCACACTGTGATAGCATTCATGTTATCACAACTGTTTCTGTGTTTGATGCAATGTTTATCATTGACAAAATTCACGTAGTTATAAGCTAACACACATCATTTACCTTTGTTAGTTTATTTACTGGAAGGGTATAACATTCTACGAAACATCAGCTGTTATATTGTAAATGTCAACAATATACTGGGTGTTATTCCTTTGGGCAAAGTTCACTCTCAGTAATTGCTTAGAATGGTCATTATTTTCTTTATAAAACAGAATTCTGAATCCTTTAGAAATATTATACGGCTTTCATGTTTGGTGTTAAAAATATTAGATTTTAAGAGAACACGACGTGTCGTTAAGAATATTGACAGATCTGCTGATTTCGATAATCACATTGTTTCTACTACACACCTCGTTCTACGAAGTCTGGTATTAAGTTTTTGTTTCGATTCTCCATTAAATAGTATATAACGTCCGTGATACTGCGAGATAACAGTAGACGTTGTACCTTACGTATCTTATTTAATCATCAACTAAGGCATTTGGCGTCAATACGTGTTACACAAACAAACACACAAGATGATCGCCGGGATTCTCTCAGTCTTCGTTGGGGTTTGTCTTTTAGGTAAGTAAGACCAGCAGTGCTAGCATAATAGGTACTAACCTCGTATGTCAATACATCCATATTTAAATCGATTATGATATGGGTGTATTCACAGACGGGGCTTGTACCTGTGCTAGCATCCAAACATCTCGGTAAATTGGGTCGGCGATGCAATATAGAGTGCTGTTTCGGGTTAAAATCCCCCTCTTTTATCATGATCTGAAAACTAATTAATAAAATTATTACAAATATTCAAATCTAATGAAAATTCTGTAAAAGTTTTTTTTTTATATGAAATGATAATGATATTGCCAAGTATTATAAGCTTCTGTCAAGATATGTACAGTTTATCTTATAATTTTTACTCATATCTGTTTTGTTTTCTTGCCTTTAATAACGTAATGGAAAACAAAGCGGCATCATTTAAAAAAATGGAAATGTTATCAACCTTATTTAACAAAGAAAATCAGTGCTGGACCCGTTTTTAATCTACAGTGTACGGGACGTCTGGATTTGAGTGCTGCATAGCCCATTATGGAGATCCTCTAGTCCAGGACAATGACGCGATGTGGTGTGCGGATTACTGCTGTCACGTGCCCACCATGTACTACTGTTGTGATGATATACTTCTCCAGGCGGACAGCTCGGACCGAGAGGGTACATGCGCCGACTACTTTCACCAGCATATGTGAGAGCAAACATTTATATATATGTACATTGTATATGCTATTCAATATTTCAGAAAAACTATGTAGCATACAAACAAATCTTTATTTAGATATCATAATTGCTTTTCATATGAAATGTGAACGAAGTATAACTTATCTCTAAGTTTAAAAGTTTAAAAAGTGGGGGGAGGGGGGATGATAAAAAAGGACATAAAATATACTTGTTGAGAACTGATCAAGAAATTAAGTAAGACATAAATGTAAACTGTGCCAGGAAGTAACAGGTAAGTTTAGAGTGGGCGACGCCAGTCCCTACCCCCCGTGTTAGTATGTTGGTAGTATCTAATTGTTACTGTGGTGTGTTACAGTTGGGTACCTATCCTTATCGCAATTGCTTGTGCCGCAGCGATCATTGCCTGTTGCTGCTGCTGCTATTGCTGTTGTTGTAGACAGGGCCAAAGAGGCGGTGGCACCGTTTTCATCCCCAACACCGGATCTGCTCCGAGTAAGTTGATTTTCTGATAAGCACTTTTTATATATCCCCTATGAATGAAGGGAGACATATTATTTTAGCATTGGTTTTCCTTCTTCTTGTTTTTCTTGTTCTAACAATATCCTGTCCGGGCCATAACTTTTGTTTAAATTGTTAAACATTATTGTGTTTTGTACCCAACAGATGTGACGGTAGTGAACTCGTCAACAAACAGTATGCAGAGCTCTACCAACAGTATGCCGAGCATGTATGTGCCACCTCCAACGGACCCCTACCGCGCAGGATACGAACAGGGCAAACAGTACTGAACCAGCAATACACTTCACATGTGATCTTATCGACCTGCCACTAACACTCTGTGATATCTTATATAATTTAAACACTTTTTATTTCGAAAATACAGATCCAACATGACTTAGTACGATTGAAATGATTTGACAACAACATAGTTTGTTTCCGAGATATCAGGCGGTAGGGCGAAACGTTTTATTTTAAAGAGTTTTATTCAAAAGCATTTCAATTGACATGAATATAAAGCTGTGTATTGATCAATTTTTGAAAGAGGGCCAAGCATCTTGTATTTAAAATGATCACCAAATCCAAGATGGCTGCCATTTTTAAATCTAGCAATACATAATGTGTGACAAAGTTATTGTGAATCAGGGGATGTTGAAAAGTAACTACTATAACATCGATGGGCTGATTTTGCTTATCATGGGCGCCAGGGCTTTTTTATGAGTAAGAACGTAAGCAAGTTCCAAACAACGTTGTCAGGTAGGTTTTGTCTTAAACATTTTAACGGAACCTAAGATTGTTTTAAGGCTTATATATCCCGTTTAAATTTGATAAGATCGGCTCACGTATTAATTAAGAGTTGTGAAAACGGTTAGTATTGGATTCCAATCTACCAGCCACTGTTCATGATTGCGTAAAGGAAACCGCATTTATGTTGGTTTATTTTACTGATGAAAGTGGATTCTGTCTAGTTCTTTATTTAACGTGACCAAGTAAGAGGTAATTGTGGGAACTAATGTATTACCTTAAATGGAACAAAAAGCAGACAGCGAGATAATTTTGCATGGAATAATCAAAGTTAGAGAATGCTGAGTATTCAAAATATTTACCTTTTGCTTCTAGTAAATATATAGAGCAACGGTTTTATCAATGTTAAATGCAGACTATTTTTATTTATTTTATTTCTTTTTTTCGCAATTTTATAAAATATACCAAAATGCGAAATCAATAATTACCTGATGATTGAAAGGGTAATTGTTTCCCTTTAATCGTAGCGTAAATTGCTTCGATGTACATGTAGATCAGTTTTGTTGAATTAATCAGATATGTTTTAAATCATACCATTTTTTTTTACATGTGCAGATATTTTAAAGTGCCATTTAGTGCATCAATTCGTATGATTTGATTAGTATTATTAATATTCAATAACAGCTTGTTGAATGCTTCTCACTTTCCAGTTTGAGCATTAAATTGTTAGGATTAATAGTCGTGTATGTGTGTTTATTTTAGTGTAATTATAATAAAATCCTCTATTCTTTCTATATGTTTTGCTGTTCTTTGTTGTGTTTTGTCTCTGAGTTACTTCCCTTGAAGAGGTATTATCTACCATTATAGGCATATCCACCAGTAGAAATTCTTCTTTTACATAAAGAAATGTATACAGGTGTTGAATAAACGAAGGTTTTTCATTGGTCATTGATATATGCTAATTTATTAATGTTCACAGGTAAAGGCCAATGTTGAGGTCACGACATGCAAGGAGACAATCCAATTTAGATACTGCCTGTTTGTAGATGATTTTAATATGCAAGGGAGATAAACGTTATATGTTTTCTAATACTTGTTTCGTATAGTCTGTTTCATGTTAGTTTTTCAAACTTGCTCCTAAAATGAACTTGTTGGAATTTATTTCTGCCACTTAAATTAAAATTTTAATACAAACATCAACAACACATATATAATTCATCATGTTAGTTTTTCAAACTTGCTCCTAAAATGAACTTGTTGGAATTTATTTCTGCCACTTAAATTAAAATTTTAATACAAACATCAACAACACATATATAATTCATCATGTTAGTTTTTCAAACTTGCTCCTAAAATGAACTTGTTGGAATTTATTTCTGCCACTTAAATTAAAATTTTAATACAAACATCAACAACACATATATAATTCATCATGTTAGTTTTTCAAACTTGCTCCTAAAATGAACTTGTTGGAATTTATTTCTGCCACTTAAATTAAAATTTTAATACAAACATCAACAACACATATATAATTCATCATGAATAGTAATCAGGTCAAGTACACTCTGCTGATTGAGCTTTATAGCTATAAAGACCTATGGTAGCAGTGTACAGTAGCGTACGGTGGCCATTGTGATACTTTTATAAATCAATAACCCCTGTAATAATACACATGTATCAAAATTAAAAAAAGAAAAATCAGCACTAAAATTGGCATATACATGATGAAGTGGACTATGTGGGCTTTATAATTTAAAAAAAAAATGAATATTTACAAATCTGTCTATACAACAAAAGCTCGCTTTTCCATGTAACCTTTTTTTTTTATAGAAACCTGAGTATTTCTGTTACCGAGTAGGCGACATTTAATTTCAGACAGGTTTTAAGGAAAAAATGACTACTTGCTGGGGTCAAATTAAAAATCATTATATTTTGCATTTTTTTGGTGTGTTTTGATGTGTTAACCATGGTTTTCACAAGTCCCAAATCTGGGAAAAACAGTTTTTGAAAAGAAAAATCAGTCTTCTAAACAAAATGTATTCAAAATATAGTTTATAAATATACATGTAGATATATTGAATCCAGGTTGAACCCACTATCCACGTTTATCCGAGACATGCCCTTCATTTTTAGGATCAAGCCATTTCTACCGTACTTAGCTACCTATATAGCTATATTACATTGTAGTTGTATTGAGCTATATTTTTCAGATTTAAATGTTTATTTTCATTTTTCATGAATGTAAAATTTCCATTTTTTTTTTGTTACATCATTACTTTTTAAAAAGAATATTTATATTTAAAGTCTCTTGTAATGATACAATCCTCTTTTAAAAGCGACTTTGCCGTTTTCCTTAAAAACGAAAATAACATGAAAACAGCTCAAAAAGCTATTTCAGATAGGTTAATGGAGCTAATATAGGTCTTTACAGCTATATAGCTCAATCGGTAGAGTGTACTGAACCTGGTAATTATGCATACATAATTGAGAGAATTCACCTTTGTAAACAAACATTTTTAAAAACGAACTATAGTGGGAAGGGAGGTAACGCGTACAGATTTGCAGTGCAACAATATAAAAATCCCTGTCAGTCTCAAACGGTTCTATATATCAATATGAAACTTGCGACAACAATAAACCATAACACATGATTTCGTATCATTGCTAGACTTTCTCCGACCATGCTCTTTATTGTAAACCAGTACAAAGAATATGCCGGTAACCAACGTCCTGAAGTTCGGTTGACTGCAAGTATTAGTGTCGTTAGTTAATTTATGGGAATGATAACGGACGAAACAAAACATGAATATAAAGAATAATATGTAAAGTTTACCCAGTGCCTTTCAAAACAAGATGTCATTGAAAGAATATATTAAATGCGATGTAAATGCACCAGCTTACCGGTCTCGCCAAAAGCATACAAAGTGTCATGACATAAACGGAAGTTAGGCAGTTTTCTTCCTTGCTATGCCATCTAGCGACAGGTGATATGCCTATACCATACGATGCCATTCATTTACAATTCCTGGATAGCAAGAGTAGGTCGGCTTTGAAAAGGTTCCTAATTTGACCCCATGATTCACTATTTCCTTACTTTTAATTTGTTTTCAACACTAGAACAACTGTAAGTTTAAAGGATCGTGGCAATATTTGTTTTAATACATCTGTAGCAAACGACTCAAACAAATATTCTTGAATACTGACAGTGGTAGGCCTATGATGTATTTAAAATTTATGTAGATATACGAAGATAGAAATTACCTGTTTGAACAAAATAAAAAGGTTGTAGATGCAGAAAGTCAAATATATGTAGACAGTAGAATAGTGGAAAACAGCGAGAATGGAAAGGTGTTTAAAAAGCCCTTTATAACGTTATAAAACAACTTTAGACTACAACAGAAGACTTATGGCGAAACTAGTATTTCATTTAATTTATACCAGAATAAATTCCAGCTACAAGGCTACGGCCGACCTTAGGGACTAATAGTCAACCCCATTGTTACGTAAAATAAAAACCAATTAGAAATGAATAAAAACACATTTTAAAAATCACATTGAAAATTTTGATGTAGGAAGCTACGCACCGTATGGCCATTTTGTCCATTCAGGACGAGTCATTGGTACTACAAATGAATGAAAACTCACATCAAAATTGTTCCGAAACATATGTGGAAGTGCTGGTTTAGGGAAAGGTGCATATAGCATTCTTAAATACCTTACAAATATACAACATTTAGCCTCAGCATTCCAGTTTATCATGTCATTATTGCATATTGATATTGTATTTCCTATAATAAAACCAACAAATGAATACCGAAGTGTCAACAAAACCATAATTTGGACTTAAAATCGATAAAACTAGGGCAATATGAACAAGGGAAAGATCAACACGGATACGTTTGAAAAAATGCAAGAAACTGCATGTTTCCTTTAAAGATCCTGATGGCGACCATAAAACGTCTTCATCAACCTGCATCTTTGGAAAACCTGTGTTGCAATCGACATATATCACTGAAACATGTAAAAATATATTCATTTGTTTAAAGATGTCTTTATTTGCCTTAAAAAAAAATATGTAAATATTAAAGAACGATAAATATATAACTACAAACACAAATCAGGTCTGTTGGGACGATATTACCACTGCCAAACTAAGCATTATTTGTGTGTGTAATTAGGGTGTCTCTTTCACTGCCCAAACTAAGTAGTGTTTGTGTGTGTAACTAGGGTGTCTCTATCACTGCCCGAAATCGGCATTGTTTGTATGTGTAATTAGGGTGACTCTATCACTGTCAAACTAAGTAGTGCTTGTGTGTGTAATTAGGGTGACTCTATCACAGTCAAACTAAGTAGTGTTTGTGTGTGTAATAATAGTGTCTCTATCACTGCCCAAACTAAGCTTTATTTGTGTGTGTAATTAGGATGTCTCTATCACTGCCCAAACTAAGCATTGTTTCTGTGTGTAATTAGGGTGTCTCTATCACTGCCCAAACTGAGTAGTGTTTGTGTGTGTAATTAGGGTGTCTCTATCACTGCCCAAACTAAGTAGTGTTTGGGTGGGTAATTAGGGTGTCTCTATCACTGCCCAAACTAAGTATTGTTTGTGTGTGTAATTAGGGTGACTCTATCACTGCCTAAACTAAGTAGTGTTTGTGTGTGTTATTAGGGTGTCTCTATCACTGCCCAAACTAAGTAGTGTTTGTGTGTGTTATTAGGGTGTCTCTATCCCTGCCCAAACTAAGTAGTGTTTGTGTGTGTAATTAGGGTGTCTCTATCACTGCCCAAACTGAGTAGTGTTTGTGTGTGTTATTAGGGTGACTCTATCACTGTCAAACTAAGAATTGTTTGTGAATGTAATTAGGGTGTCTCTATCACTGCCAAACTAAGTAGTGTTTGTGTGTGTAATTAGGGTGTCTCCATCACTGCCCAAAATAAGCAGTGTTTGTGTGTGTAATAAGGGTGTCTCTATCATTGCCAAACTAAGGATTGTTTCCGTGTGTAATTAGAGTGTCTCTATCACTACCAAACTAAGTAGTGTTTGTGTGTGTAATTAGGGTGTCTCTATCACTGCCCAAACTAAGTAGTGTTTGTGTGTGTAATTAGGGTGACTCTATCACTGTCAAACTAAGAATTGTTTGTGAATGTAATTAGGGTGTCTCTATCACTGCCAAACTAGGTAGTGTTTGTGTGTGTAATTAGGGTGTCTCTATCACTGCCAAACTAAGTAGTGTTTGTGTGTGTAATTAGGGTGTCTCCATCACTGCCCAAAATAAGTAGTGTTTGTGTGTGTAATAAGGGTGTCTCTATCATTGCCAAACTAAGTAGTGTTTCCGTGTGTAATTAGAGTGTCTCTATCACTACCAAACTAAGTAGTGTTTGTATGTGTGATTAGGGTGTCTCTATCACTGCCTAAACTAAGTAGTGTTTTTATGTGTTATTAGGGTGTCTCTATCACAGCCCAAACTAAGTAGTGTTTTTATGTGTAATAAGGGTGTCTCTCTCACTGCCCAAACTAAGCAGTGTTTGTGTGTGTAATAAGAGTGTCTCTATCACTACCAATCTAAGTAGTGTTTGTGTGTTTAATTAGGGTGTCTCAATCACGCCCAAACTAAGTAGTGTTTGTATGTGTGATTAGGGTGTCTCTAGCACTGCCCAAACTAAGTAGTGTTTTTATGTGTAATAAGGGTGTCTCTCTCACTGCCCAAACTAAGCATTGTTTGAGTGTGTAATAAGGGTGTCTCTATCATTGCCAAACTAAGTAGTGTTTGTTTGTGTAATTAGGGTGTCTCTCT